TGAAGTGGACAGATTTTTTTTATTCTATTGATCTTTCTAAAAAATTAGCTTTTGAGTTTATTGATCTTCTCCATTATAATCTTTAATTTCTACTCTTACTTTTTTCTATTCTCTTTAGGTTTCTTCTCTCAAGTCAAAGTTAAATTTTGAAATGTGTTTTAAAGTTAATCTCTTAGGTTCTCACTTACCTCATTTCTATAATGAAAACTTAGGGGCTCAGTTGGTTCAGTGTCTGAGTCTTGATTTCAGCTCAGGTCATCATCTCAAGGTTTATGAGTTCAAGCCCTGCATCAGGCTCTGCTCTATGAGAGTCTTTCACAGAGCAGAGCCTGCTTGGGATTCTGTCTTCCTATGTCTCTCTCTCTCTCTCTCTCTCTCTCTCTCTCTCTCAAAACAAATAAACATTACATTTAAAAAATCATAAGTAAATAAATATGAAAATTCATCAAAAATAATGCCTTTACCAGTACTCCTGATTTAAAGGAAATCTCAACAAAACTTCATTAATTAGAGCTAGATCAGTAAAATAATAATCAATCAATTATCACAAAGTTGCTGGTTAAAAACAGACCTGTAAGAAGGGTTTGCAACTTTAAGTGACTAATGGTTTCATTCAACAAACATTCAGATAAATGTACTTTTCTCTAACAATCGTTTTTAGTGGTAAAGTTATAAGTCAAAGTCCTTGAAACTATTCTGATAAACCTTTCAATATTCTAAGAAAACTCCTTACTCATGTTAGCAATAAACTTATGAAGAAAATCTTTTAATTTTCTGAATATTTTTTCATGCTTATTTTTGAGAGAGAGAGAGAGAGAGAGAGAGAGAGAGAGAGAGAGAGAGAGAAGGGCAGAGAAAGAGGCAGATACATAATCCAAAGCAACTCCAGACTCTGAGCTGTCAGCACAGAGCCCTATGCGGGGCTCAGACTCACTAACAGTGAGATCATGACCTGAGCCAGTCGGACACTTAACCAAATGAGCCACCCAGGAGCCCTGAAACTCAATCTTTTATAATGAAACAAGTTAGTATAGGTTAAACTATCTATACATCAAGTTTTAATGTCTGGCTGAGTGTTTATCTTCTCAAAATACCTCTATCTCAACAGTCCCTCATTTTCCCAACTGTCTTATGAAATGACTTTTGAGTTTGTACCGTAAGTTCTACCCAGAAATGCAATAAAGAACTACCGACTTTATAGTTTTCTGTTTCCACTGTTCTGTTGTTGCTTTGTTTATTCACTGTGTTGAATGTAGCTTGTGAAATTTCCATCTTTTTTATTTCCATTTTGGGTAAAATAATTTAAAGCCCTTAACTTCTCTGTACGTGGCAGCTTAGCTGCATCCCTGAAGTTTCATGTTGTATTTTCATTACAGCTCAATTCCAAATAATTCCTAATTATTATGTAATTTCTTCTGTGACCCATGTGCAACTTCAAAGAGTGGGGTTTTGTTTTTAGTTTTTACTTTCTAGATGTTTGTACATGTGTTGTTGGAGGGAGGCTGTTAATTATTATCTCTTTTAACTAATTTCTAAGTAATTTAAATGCACCATATCAAAGACAATTATTTGTTCTATACCAATTGCTTTGTGACCTAATTCTTGGTCAATATTTTTTTCATTGTTCTTTGTTGAATAGGTGAGTTTTCCAACCATTATGAAAACCAACCTATTCAATAAGGAACACTGATTTCTCTGTTCACTATTCCTTCTTGTTTTTGTGCCTTCCTACCAGATTATACTTTATTTCTCTAAAGGAATTCCTTTGCTGAAATTTCATTAATGACTAACTAAATTTGTCTAAAAGCATCTTTATTTCATCCTCACATTTGAATGTTTATTTCTGGGTATAGGATTCTAACCAGGCAGTATTTTCTCTAATTATGAAGATATTTTTACAAAGTTTGCTGATTATTTTTATTTGACGATAATAGGTCTATTTCTGTTTTTATTTAAAATAGTTTTTCTTTTGACTCCACAGTTTTAATTCAGAGGTATCTGGAAGTAGATTTATTTTTGTTTTCCTTCCTAGGACTTGAGGTTTCAAAATCTGAGATTTAGGTCTTTTATAAATTATGGAAATTTCCAGATGTTAATTCATTAAAAATTGCCTGTCTCCCATTTTCTGCCCCTTTTATTTTCTAGAATGCATGAGATAGTTAAATAGGCAGCACAGAGAAATAAATCTTTACATTTCATCTTCTATATCTCATCTCACACAACATCTTAGCATCAAAACACAAGTCCTTCACTACCAAGTCCAGAAACTGACCTCCTCCCTGAATAGTTTGGCTTCAATTCATCCTTTTAGAATTCTGTTTGCATTCACCACTCAGGGTTCCATTTGGTCTTCAGTTGCTTTACTTTGGGCCCCTGGGGATTTCTCATACTTTCTTATAAGCACAACTATGCATTAAAGCAATATTTATTATGATTTATAGAAGACTTCTGGACAATTTTAGTGAAAATATCTTCAAGTTATCTAGTTCATAACATTTCGGTAAATGGGAGTCAAGACTATGTCTTTAAAAAAAAAGCTTTAATTATGTTAATAGGTTGGAAACATTTAGGCATAAGTGTTTATAGAAAACTTGTATGCTACTAGGGTTGAATCAAAAAGCACTATCTAGTTGACTTAGTATTTGCTTTTTCAAGTTTGTTTTCATCATTCTTCTGTCTTGTGATAATAGGAACAAAAGAGTGATAGAAACAAAAGGGACTTGTCTATGTTACTTAAGACAAAATGAGTGCAAACCACAAGAGACTCTTAAATACTGAGAACAAACTGAGGGTCGATGGGAGGTGGAGGAGAGGGGAAAATGGTTGATGGGCATTGAGGAGGGCACCTGTTGGGATGAGCACTGGGTGTTGTATGGAAACCAACTTGACAATAAATTACATATAATAAATGAATAAATACATGTAAAAATATTTTTTAAAAAGATTAAATGAGTACCTTAACTTTGATTCTTTTCAGATGGGAGTTCTAGAAGTTGACAGTCTCCCAGGTACATAGTCCTTAATCTTAATTTATATGTCTTTTTATTTACATGGGTTTAGTATGCCCTACTGGTTTTGAAGTCCAGGCTCAAATTCACCCACCTCTTCCAATCTTCCTTTTATGTATTTATGTACTTTAGGATCTTTCTCACTTCAATATTTGCATAACATTTATAGTTATTACATCAACTGTATCCCACAACTGTTTTCTGGTATTCCAACATTTCTGGCTTTACCTTTCCACATATATAAACTCCTCCAAAGCAAAAACGGCACTTAAGATTCTCTCTCATGCTTTCTCCCCATAGAGCTGGTGCACCTGACAGCCAAAGGCAAGTAAACAAAGTTAAAGTAAAATATCATTTGCCGGGATAATTTCGTCTGCAATAGGAGTTTCATTAACACCAATAAGTAATAAGAGAATGAAGTAATGCAGGTTTACAGAACTATCCAACTCCTCAGTGCTTATTTCATTCCTGCTGAAACACCACCTTGTGGAAGGAAAGATTCGGGGAGGAGTGGGGGAAAGTACCTACTAATCAGTTACAAAGCAAGAGAAAGCCAGAGGAAGGAATAGTATTCTTGTCACAGAGATTCCAAAAGGGTCACTTATAATTCTACTCTCAAGCCTAGAACTCTCAGACTGATTAATAGCCATTCAAGAAAAATTTTGAGTACTTGCCACATACCAGACACTGTTTGAGGGCATTCGGTAGACAGTAGTAGACAAATCATACAAAAATTCCTGCCTTCAAGGAGTCTGTATTCTAGTTATAGGCTAGAGATAAATACATATGTGAATGCATACATACATACATACATACATAAATAAAGTGTACAAAATGTCCGAAGTGTTGTGAAGAAAACTCTGAGCAGGAAAGAGAGCCAGGGGCAAAGTAGGGGAGGTTGTCATTTTAAATAGGGTGGTTAGAAAAAGCATCACTAAACAAGTGACATTTGAGCAAACAGCAGACTGGAGGCGGCAGCCATGAGGATATCTGAGAGAGGAGCGCTCCGGGCAGATAGAATTGCAAATGCAGAAACACAGGCAAGAAGGAACCTGGCATGTCCAAGAACTAGCAAGAGAGTACTGTGAAAAGAACAAGAGAAGCAAAGGGGAAAACTGTCAAAATGGAGAGTACAGGGTCTGTGGAAACGGAGAGCAGGGACATCCATACATCACTGTATACAATGTGGGTTTTTTCCTGGAGGAGATGAGGAGCCACTGGAACAAACTTTGTGGAAGAGGGAAACAAATATTTCAAGTAGAAGAAAATGGCAAAAACTGAAGGTGGCTGACGTTGAGAGTAGAGTTTTTTTGATGAACTAAATTATGGCATATTTGTATACTGATGGGCAGGACTCAGTAGAGAAGCAAACATAGGTGAATAAAATGTACCCAAGAAAGGGGTAAATTACTGTTGTGGTTACCTCAACAAGAAGAGAGGAGACGAGATCTGATGTGGATTGGAGGCACTATTCTCAGCCAGGTCCAGAGTCCTGGTCACCCATGGTAACAGGAGGGAAGGCAGGGTATGGCTTCAGGTGCAGATGGCTTAGTGGTTACAAGCCATGTGAGAGCATGAAATTCTCTTCTATTAGGTTCATCTTCTCTTTGAAATAGGAAGCAAGGTCAGCTAAGAATGGCAAGGGAAGAGGTTTTGGGGGTTGGACTAGAGAAAGAAAAGAGGCCTCACACAAGCTACGGGAGGGCAACATGGAGTACTGATGATGAAAGTGTTCATATTCCAGCTCTGCCATGTATCAGCCAAGTGACCCTGGGCAAATCTACAAACCTCATTAAACCTATTCCCTCTTAATGCAAAATGGGCATTACTGCTTTGTGGGGAGGATGAAGAGAGATCATGTGAAAGCAATTGCAACTACTACTAAATGACAAGCACTTAGTATATGTTGGCTGTTGGCTGATAGTACACATTAGGAAATTACTTATCAGTGAATGGATAGGTTGTGATATTTTATGTCTACTCTCTTTTCAGGAGGTTTGTCCTCACCAAACTTCGAGTCATCCCAAAAGGAGCATTCTTGGGATTTGGGGACCTGGAGAAAATGTACGTACCTAACAGTGCTGTGTGTGAGTGCCTCAAATAGGCTGTGGTCAGCAGCCTCACATCACATCCAGTGTGATGCTCTGTGCCTAGAAGCCAGAAAACTTGCTGCACCTCCTCCTATTTTATTTCCTAATAGTGAGGGACCTTTCAGAGTATGGTTAATGAAAAGAGCATAAGGTCAATCTAAGCAGTCCTCACTTTTTCTTCTACAAGGCATTGCTCCAAAGTACCTGTGAGTGGAGTTTTTATAAACCAAACTGATTTTCTCTGCTGATACCTATTCTTTCTCAGGGATGTTGTCTATTATTTCTGAATAATTTTTAATTGACAACAGGGCCTAACATTTGTGTTCAAGATTCTCTAGACTTCTCTTTTCCAAGCCATGCTGACAAGTGGTAATTGATGTATCAACATTTACAAGCATCAGAAAAGTTTATTGCACTGAAGATTTCCTTTGAAAGGAGAAGACTCCTTTGCTAATGCAAACATTAACTCCTTACTGAGCTAGTTTAATGTAGGTGTATCCCCAATCAGGCTTTTCTCAAAATTAGTCACAGTATTAAAAAGCAGAATAAATTCTGCCATGTTTAAAGTAACCCACTCTTACTTTGAGAAAGTTAACAGAAGACCTAGGGGGAAAAGGAGGGGAAAAATAGTTTCAAACAGAGGGGGAGGCAAACCCCAAGAGGCTCTTAAATACAGAAACAAACTGCAGGTTGACGGGGGTGGCAGAGGAGAGGGGGAAATTGGTGATGGGCATTGAGGAGGGCACTTGTTGGGATGAGCACTGGATGCTGTATATAATCGATTAATCATGGGAATCTACTCATGAAGCCAAGAGCACACTGGATACACTCTGTTAGCTAACTTGACAATAAATTAAGTTTAAAAAAATTTTTAATAAAGTAACCCACTATTCCTTTGAAGGCTCCTGACCCCATCTCCCAGGTCTCTAGGGCCAGGAAAATGTGTTCTTCACCAGAGCAGCAGCCAGAACTCAGGACTTTAATACCAGTGAATACAGCAAAAGAAAGATGGATTACACAGAAAGGAATGATTTTTTCATCATAAGAAAGCAACCCCTCAGGTTACATGCTTTTCTCCTTCTTAAAGCCATTCAATTTTTCCTCTTGGTTCTTTCACCCCCATTTAAGAATACTTGCTGAGGTCCGAAGAAGAAAGAAATCCATTAATAAAGGAAACACAGAGCAGAGAGAGTGGCAATATGTCTCAGCAATTACACCACTTGCTTAGAGGAAGGTGCTCAGAATCCTGGGTTTGAGGGCTAGCTTTGATATAAACTTACTGTGCAATCTTGATTAAATCACTGTATCTCTTGGTATCTTGGTTTCCCTATCTGTGGGTTAAGTAAGGAGTTTTTCACAAAGGAGATGATGGCTCCTGTGAACTCTAAGTCCTAAGTATAAGGACCCCCAGTTGGATGACAGCCTGGTTTAAATCCTGCAATCCTGGGATGCCTGGATGGCTCAGTTGGTTAAGCGTCCAACTTCAGCTCAAGTCACCATCTCACGGTCCATGGGTTCTAGCCCTGCGTCGGGCTCTGTGCTGACAGCTCAGAGCCTGGAGTTGCTTCAGATTCTGTGTCTCCCTCTCTCTCTGCGCCTCCCCCACTCATGCTCTATCTTAAAAATAAATAAACATTAAAAAATGTTTTTAAAATAAAACCTGCAGTCTTCAGGGTTTACCTTCTTGAGGATATTCAACACTCACAGGAATTGAGAGATAGGGCACTCAATGGAGCAGAGCTCACCGAGGAAAACAGTGAAGCAATAGAACTGGGGAGCTCTCTGCTCAAGGTATATTCCTACATGGGTTAGCTGTTGCCCTGCTTAGAACTGACATGTACTAGATGACTAGACTATTAGATACACCTCATCCCCAAGAAGCCCTATAATTGCATAGAAATTGTTCTAAAGACAGGAATATCAGATATCAAAAATAATCCACCTTAATCAAATTCAATCCAGCAGGTGTGACTGACCCTCATTGGGTGTTCAGCATCAGACAGGACATTCCAGTAGTGATATAAATTGTTAAGCTGAGCTGACACAGCAATAATCCCAGAGACAGGGCAGCTGGCTTAAAACCTCAACTTCCTCAAACCTCAAACACAGCTTGTGCATTTCGACCTCATGACTTTATTCATCAGCCTATACTGACACAGCGAGATGCCTAAAATAAAATTAAAGTGATCTCATTTTTTTCAACACTTTGTATGTCCTAAGGCTTCAAAAACATTTCTTAGTAGAAGGCTTGTCACCAAACTGAACTCTGAACAGACTGTGCCCTTCAGTCTCTACGCTCCTTTCTTCCGTTGTCTCGCCTTCTATTCTTGGTCAGTGATGGCTTCTTATCTCCTTTCCCAATCTAACCCCAGCATTTCTATTCACCTGGTTTTTAGCCAGTTTCATGAACTTAGTAAGTATCAGCTTCCTCCTCAATATTTCCTTCTCCGTGAATCATAAAATCCCTTTCATTCATTCTGCACATGTAGCCAAGTTTCACCTTCTTTTGCTAAAAAGAAGGAGGGAAAAGCTTTCTGTATAAATCCTGCCTTCCTTCCCTGCTACCTTCCCCTCTTTCTGGTCACCCCCACACTTGTGAAAGAACAGTTGCATTCACTACCCCCCTGCCCTTTCCTTTTACTCACTCTTTAGCCAGCCCTCTTGCTATTTGGCCACAAATTCTCTAACACCATGTAATCACTCTATGAGAGTTCCCAACAATGATGGACCTGCCAGATCTCTTGACTTCTACTTTGTCTTCCTAGCACTTATCTGCAGCTTTTGACGTCACTGACTATTCACACCCTTCTTTACAATACTCATTCCCCTTTTAATTTCAGTGACAACACACCCTCCTGTGTACTCTCCTAATGTCCCAGACTACTCCACTGACAGTTCTTTCAGTCTTTCTTATTCCTCGGCTGCCCTTCAAAAATTCAGATATTCCAGAGCTCCATTATTGGCCATTTTCTTTCTCATATTATACTCACAATCCCCAATCATTATTCATCAAATGATGTCTTACTATCAGGGCTCCAAAACCTTCTTCCATAACACCCATCTCTCTTTTGAAAGATAATTCTTGTTTTCAAATGGAAAGATTCCTAAACATCTATACCTCATTAAACTGCAAGTGCCTCAAATTTAATACATCCAGACTAGTTCATGATCTGTATCTTTAAATTTCTTATCTTCTCATATTGCCCAGTGAAGAACATTACCATCTGCCCAAACTCCCATGCAGGAAAATTCAGTATCCCTTGACTTTCCCTTAAACCCAGGTCCTTTTCCAGTCCTATTGACTCTTTCTCAAAAATATTCCTGGAAACCAGCCCTTCTCTCCCTCCAGCTATTATATCCAAAGTCTCATTAACACTTACATAGCCTGTTACACGAGGCTGCTATGCCCATCCCAGGTCTGATCTCCCCAGCTCCCTGCTGCCAGACCCACACTGCTCAAACTCTCTTACAGAAGAAACTGGAGGGACTCTCATTGCCATAGGCTTTAGTATTAAGTGGCACAAAAATCAAAGCCCTTTCTATTTCCATCATATGCACTGTTTTCCCACATTTTTGCCAAGCAGGAACGTGTGCCATTTCCCATTTCATTACCAGACATCCCATTACTTACATAAAACAAGATAGCTAGTTCTTTGGATGGTGCCTGGCACATAGAGGGATCAAAAAATAGTTGCAAGGAGGGGCACATGGGCGGTTCAGTCAGTTAAGCATTTGACTCTCTTGGTTTCAGCTCAGGTCATGATCTCACAGTTCATAAGATTGAGCCCCACGTTGGGCTCTGTACTAACAGCAGGGAGCCTGCTTGGGATTCTCTCTCCCCCTCTCCCCCACTTGCACTCTCTCCAAATAAACTTTTTCTTAAAAAATTGCTGGTGAATTAATTAACAAAATGCACTTTCACACTGGTCTTATGTAGATGCTGTCCCTCTGCCTAAAATTTCACTCAAAATTTGAATAGAAATCCTGCTGATCCTCCAGTGTCCAGATTAAATGTTTACTCCTCTGTACAGCCTTTCCAGAATGCTCTCAGTACTTCCAAACCATAATCTTGTGTCCACCATACCAAGAGCACTATTATCAGATTGTATTCAGAATTCACAGTTTTTCTAGATCTCTTGATTGATCTTTAAGGGCAAGGTCAGAGTGTAACTTTGTATTAAAGTACTACACCAAGTTCTGTTTTTATCTCCTTGCTATACCTCTCATCTGTCCACTTATCTCCTCCAATTACCATCAGCTTTCCCAAATGACTGCAAGAGTTTTCAAGCATGCTGCCCTGTCCTCCAGCATGCTCTGCACTCACCCTCATCCATTCTCTAAGTGGCAACCACAGTGATATTATCTAAATTCCCATCTAATTATATCCACTTCCACATCTGTCCTGCCACATACACACACCATGCCTTACCATTGCTCTTCACATTTAAAAAGAAAAAAGATCTCTCACACTCTCTCCTTTTATCAGTTCATAAAACGTACCATGTTATCTGCCTACCATGAACCTTGCTTGGTGCAGCTCATCCCGACTAGAACATCTCTTCCACTTTTCACTCTTAATTTGGTCGGTTCCTACCCATCCTTCAGATTCCCATGCCAGAGTCACTCACCTAGAAAAGCCCTCCCTGACCTCTCCAATTAGGAAAAACCCATTACTATATACATTCTCCTACCACCACTAGACTCTTTGAGCTGACTTTCATTTTAGCAATTTTATACTTATTTTATGGGATAATTTAATTTCTAACTCCCCTACCGGACTGTCAAAGGACATGATTGTTTTATTCAGTACTGGATCCTTGGTGCCTTGCACAATAAATAACTGATAAATGCATGAATAAAAATAAAGAAATATAATAGTTGGGAAGACAAGATATCCAGATATCAAAATATTAAATAATATGAGTGATAGTGCTAAATAATGTAGAAGTAGATAGGCATACAAACACTGGTTAA